GCAGGGAGCAACACCGAGGGTTGCGATCCCGTTGCCGGTCCCGGGCCAGTACGGGCACGACACTGAGGGTTGCGATCCGTTGCCGGTCATGAAAAAAGACAAAAAGGAAAAAAAAAAAAGAAAAAACCCATAGATAACATTATACTTAATAGTGAAAGATAGGAACAATATTAGGAACAAGATGAAGATGTCTGTTTTCACCACCTCTTTTCAGCATTGTACTGAATTTTCTAGCAAGGCAGTTAGGCAAGAAAAAGAAATTAAAGGTATCCAGTTTAGAAAGGAAGAAGTAAAACAATCTCTGTTTGCAAATTAGGTGATCTTATATGTAGAAAATCAAAAAGAGTCTCCAAAAACCTTTTAACCAGAGCTAGTGAATGAATTCAGCAAGGGTACAAGATACAAGATAAATGTAGAAATAATCCATTGTATTTCTGTATGCTAGCAATGAGCAATCTGAAAATGAAACTAAAAAATAATTTATAATAGGGGTGATGAAAATATTCTGGAATTAGATAGTGGCAATGGTTGCAGAATTTTGTGAATATAATGAAACCCATTGAATTATACACTTTAAAAAGGTGACATTTATGGTATGTGAATTACGTCTGAAAAAAAACAAAAAAAGTGTGTGACAATGGATTTGTATTCAAAATATATCAAGGCAGGAGCCAAGGGCAGCCCCCTTCTGCCCAGAAATAGACAAGGAGCATGCTGAAAACACCACTTCCTTACAGGTGGCCCACTACAACCACCACCTCAGCCACAGCTGCTGCAAAAGTGGCTCGACGCCACAGCAGTAGCCACAGCTACCATGCAGGTGGCCCATCAGACACCCAACTGCAGTGATACAAGGAGGGTCACCGGTGGAGACTAGAGAAAGAGGCAGACATTTTCTCCTCAAAGCCCATTCTAGCATAATAGAAGAGACAACTGTTTTTCACGCCCCTGCTTTATTTCTGATTCTTGTAATTTCTGTCTTCTTTCTTTTTTTCTTGGTCAGTCTAGATAAAGGTTTGCAAATTTTGTTGTTCTTTTTAAAGAATAAAAAACAAAAAACACTATTAAGCAGTCTACAAAGCACCATTGATGTAAATATTTTAATCAAACATTAACTTTACATAATTCTTTTAGGATATAGTAATCTTTATACATATTGTGTAACTTGTTAAATATGTAACTATCATTCATTTTCATTGACAGACTTTGTTATGAGAGATTGAAATCAAGCTCAAAACTCATTTCTTAAAAAAAAAAATCAAGAACTTTTATAGCTCAATAATAAAAAACCAAAAAAACCCAACACAAAAGTGGACAAAAAATTTGAATAGACACTTCTCAAAAGAATATGTATGAATGGCTAACAAGCAGATGGAAAGGTGCTCATCATCATTGTTTATTAGAAAAGTACAAATTAATGTCACAAGTGATAATACCAGCTGTTGGTGAGGATTTATAATACCTAGAATTCTCACTTGTTACTGGTAGGACGCAAAATGGTATAGTCAACCTGGAAAAAGTTTGGCAATTTCTTTAAAAAATTAAGCATATGCTTACTGTACAACCCAACAATTTCTTACCAAAAATAAATGAAAATGTGTCCACATAAAGACTTTTAAGTGGATGTTTAAAATAGCCTGATTTGTAATAGTCAAAAACTGGAAACAACCCAAAAGTCCATTAACAGGTGAACACATGGACAAAATGTGATATATTCATACAGTGAAATACCACTTAGCAATTAAAATGAATGGAATACTGATGTACACAATAACATGAGTGAATCTCAAAATATTATGCTAAGTGAAAGAGGCTGGGCACAAAAGATTTCGTACTACATGATTCCATTTATATGAAATTTTTTTTTTATATATGAAAAAATTTAAAAAGCCAAAACTATAATGGCAGAAAGTGGATCAGTGGTTGCTTGGGGCAGGATTGACTGCACAGGAGCACAAGCAAATTTTTTGGATTGATGGAATTGTTCTAAAATTTTATTGTGGTGGTAGTTGCATGACTATACCTTTACCAAAATTAATGAAACTGCACTCAAAGTGGATAAATTTTTGGTATGTAAATTATGCCTCAGTAAGTTTTTTAAAATGCCTTCTTTGTGTAGATATATAAATGGAGGATTTATAGCCTCATTTCTAGAATTTTAAAAATTAACGTCTTTTTCAGTCTGTATATCATTTGCTTTTTAATCTTTATTTCTTATTTGTAGCATATTTCAGAATTTTCTAGTTGGGGTGCATAATTATTTAAATTTTGCAAGTGTCTGTTGAATGTCTACTTTGTGTCAAGCACTGGGAGGACAGAGTCCCTACTTCCAGGAAACTCACAGTGTTATAGGGATTTTAAGTTGTTAATAGAAAACTTAAGTGCAAGAGTAGAGATATTTACAAAGTATGGAAGGATTCATTTTATCTGAATGGAGCTGAGTGGTCTGAGGTCTTATTAAGTGGGCAGGGAAGGCTTTCCTGGGGAGGTAGAATTGGGAAGACAGTAGGAATTGATCCAGCAGACAAAGGGAGTAGACACACTAGCCTTCTATATGGTCTTTTGGTAAAATAAGTAGAGATTGGGGAATCTATTTTTGTGTTTATAAGACTAAGAAACTTCTTTAAAAATCGACTTTCAGGATATGAGTCCTTGGATCACTGATTTCTCTGGTTCTTTTACTAGTGGATAGAGCTTTCAATTGCTTGGCTCTTAAATCTCTCAAGTTTTTTTAAAAATCCACCGTCTTTTTTTTTTTTAACTGACTTTTTTCACACTTATTCAGAGTCCAGGCAAATTATTTAGCCCTACTTCTTGTGAATTCCTTGTTTTTAGTATTCTTTATCTGCACTAACAACCAATGTCTTTTTATCCAAAAGTAGCTTTCTCTTTGCCCCAAATTAACATTTGCTTTCACAGAGTAGCTAGGTTCTATAGAGTATATTCATCAGATTTGTGACAATTCTATTTAAAAAATAAATGTATAAAAGAAGTGGATGCTATGACACTTAGGATTCGAATTTCAAAGAGAAATATTTTGGAGTTATTTGGATATAATAGCTAGGAACCATTTTCTCTCTTCTTTGCTACTCCTACTGCCTTCACTTTTTTTTCAGTTGACTCAGTTAAGAAAGTTTTCGTACTGTCCCTAAGTGATTGATAAGAATGACACTTAAAATATCTATAATAGGAAATGTTCTTGACGAAATATCTTGAGAACTTTTTATTTCATGTCTAAAAGGAAGAAGAAGAGTTTTCCGTTCTTGCCAGCTGCCTGGGACTGCTGCCAGCATTTTACCAAACAGAGCATCCGTTCATCAGTGCCTCCTGCCTGGATTGGCCAGTTCCAGCGTTTGATATTATAACTCAGTGGTGTTTTGAGATAAAGTCATTTACTGAAAGACATGCAGAACAAGGAAAGGTATGTAAAAAGAGTAGTACTTACTTGCCACAGTAGTGATACACTAATAGGTGAGAGAATAATGAAGAATTTAAAATTTCAGGTCATGTGTTCTTGGCAGCATTTATTAAACTGATTAAATTGAAAAAAAGGGTATACTTATATAAATTTCTTTTATGGGTAAGTAAGCAGAAATATTTCAGTTAACTAAGATAAGGTATTGGTTATTACTTTTAGTTTGTTTTAGGTTAGCAGATTTTTATTGAATACCTTAAATAATCATAGCACTAGACTTGGAAGATACAAAGGAATTTTAAGGTAGATGAGGAACTTGTATTCTTATTTGAAGGAGAACTGTCTCATATTTAAAAAAAGATTTGGACTAGCAGAAGTAAAAGGTCATATCTTTAACTTTAGAATTTGCTGGGCAAATGCTGGAAGCTTCGCTGGTAAAAGGGTTTGCGTTGGAGATGAGTGAATTGGAGAGTAGAGTTGGGGCAGCAGTGTGTGGCTGTGTATGCCATGGTTTGGTTTAGACCGTATGTAGAACTACAGTTTTCAAGAAATGGAATAATATGATGAAATTAGTGTTTTAGGGAGGTGATTTTGGTGGCTTTTTAGTAGGTAAATTAGGGAGGGAAGTCAGAGGTGGTTTAGTTGGTAAAGAAAATCCGGACTATTTTTCTGTTAGTAAAAATTAGAAAGTAACTAATGCGAGAGACATTTGAGAAAAACATACAGGACTTTTTGGCCAGTAGTACATGACTTTAGGGTCTTGAACTCAAATCATTAGGAGAATAGTGACTAGTATATATAGTTCTGATAGGAACATGCTTCTACTTAAACACCATTAATGGTGCCCCATTGCTTATGGAGGAAGACATGGATTCCTTGCATGGCATTCAAGGATCTTCACCATCTTGCTTGCCTTTCCATCCTCATTCTGCATCACTCCTATGCTCAAATGCACTTGCTCAAATCACAAAAGAATGTTTCATAGGTGTGCTTTACATTTTCACGCTTCTGTAACATTGTTTATTGCCATTACAGAGAAGGGTAGGCAGGTATCTAAGGCAACTTTCCTTCAGTTCTCTAATTGAATTAATCATTCTTCCAGTGTTTGCTGCGGTAAATGTTACCTCTTACGTGAAAATTTGTCTGATAGTCCATCTTCCTTTACAGTCTTAATCCCCTCCCTCCTTTTATTTGTGCTATACAACCATACTTTTGTCACTATATCTAATGGTTGCCAGATTTGTCACATCTGTTTCTTTAATGTGCCTGAATTGGGGCTCCACAAAACAGAAATTGTTTCTTATTTATCCTTGAATCTCCAGTTCCTAGAAAGTACCTGATATAGATTAATCACCTAATAAATACTTCTGGAACAATTAAGTGGTAGGATAGTGTCATTGTCTTCTGTTTCAGTAGAACTAGAGCTGCTGAAAGAGAAGCTGAATTTCAGGGAAAATGAAAATTTTAATTTTGAACATCAAAGAGACAATAAAAAATTAGTATTTCAGTTGGAGATGTCAGACTAGACTTAATTTTAAAACATTGTAGTGAATAATAATGTCAGGGTAAACCTAAATAAATGTCTCTACTTTTATTCTTTTCCATTTCTTGCTGAAATTTTTAAAAAGATGCTACCTTGTTTTATACCTTTTTTTTTTTTTTTTTTTTTTTTTTTTTTTCCCTTTTTTTAAATTTTTTAAAAAAGGTTTCCTTTTTTTTTTCCTTTTTTTCTGAAATTTTTAAAAAAATGCTCCCTTTTTTTTTCCCTTTTTTTAAATTTTTTAAAAAAGGTTTCCTTTTTTTTTTCCTTTTTTTCTGAAATTTTTAAAAAAATGCTCCCTTTTTTTTTCCCTTTTTTTAAATTTTTTAAAAAAGGTTTCCTTTTTTTTTTCCTTTTTTTTTTTTTTTTTTTTTTTTACTTTTATGCCATTTTTTCAATATTGTACCATATAGGTACAAAATTAGTATTTACAGTTACATTTTTTCCCATAATATATAGGAAAGATCTTTAAAACTTTAACAGAAAATACATTTTTTTTGAAAAAGCAAATATTTGTACATTTTAATTCCACCACTAAAGGAATATCCTGTACACAATTTTTAGAATAGTTGATATCTTTAAGATGGATATTTTACAATTTCAGGAAAAAAAAAAAATAACATGAAGCTTCTGCTGTCGCAGATCACTGTAGTAAAGATATAAATGCAATAATATGTTGTAGAAACAATATATATACCCTCTGATCCTCTGATATTTTACAAACTTTGTACTGAAATTATGCGATTAGAAAAGACCAATAAACCCACTTCCCAGTACCAGTTTTTTATTTAAAAAAAAAAAAAATCAGTCATCTCCTTGCTATATTTTAAATACTCTAAGAGGTCATATCTGAGAATATACTTTACAGTCAGTATAAAATAAATTTATGCTTGGTTGGCAAATAAAAAATGATGCATGTTTAATGTTTGTAACCAAGCTTGAATGTATCTTTACTATAAGCTTAAAACAAACAAACAAACAAACAAAAAAAAACCAAAAAAACCTCAAGGAGGTGAAAAAATCCCCTTTGGGCCTGTGCATTTTTACTTGTATGATATATATATATTTTTTTTCTTTAGCCATAACAGGCTGGAATTGCTGTATAACTTTTTTTTTTTTTTTTAAAGGAAAGGGAAATTCAAGGAATTAGTTCAATCTTGTATATTATATATAAAAATATTTTTCCTGTCTAGTAATTTCTTTACTCAGAGATTATAGCTAAAATTTGAAGTTATATTTTAATGTCTGAAAACCTATGAGGAAAGACCTATAAGTAAGAAAGAAGGGTATAATTGTAGAACCAGGGCAGGGAGAAAAAGTGATGAACGTATTCAAAATTTTTTGTCTTTATATGAACCATGGGTTAAGAGCAAGCCTGTAATTTAGATGAATGATTATTGGTATGGATATTGATGAAAAATAAGAAGTTGTCATTATAAATATTTAATCTTTTTGTAAAATTGAGTGATAATTATTTGTTTTATAGTGAAAGTAGTAGATATTTATTTATTTTTGCTAATGTTGAATTTTTGCCAGTTTGAGTATACTCCCATTCGACCTGCATCCCTACTCCTGTTGCTGTTCCACTCTGTTCTATTCTTAACCCTGACCCTGACCCTAGGTCAACCGAATTCTGTTTCTAAGGAATTTTCAATTTGAATAGGGAGACCTAGTAGAATAAAGGGTTTTAGGAGCCGAATAGTCCAACAACAGTGCCCTTGAAAGATAGTCTGTGAATTACTGCTTCTGAGTTTTTGTATCAGTTAAGATTTTTTGGTAGCAAACAACAAAATCCAGTTCTGATTTAAGGAAAACAAAACAAAAGCAAAGCACACAGAAAAAAAACAGGATTTATTGGAAGCATGGTGAGTAATTTGCAGCATTGAAGAAGAGCTGAACTGGCATCCTTTGGGAAGAAGAGGAACCACAAAGACCTCTGGTCTGTTTTCTCTGAAGTGTTGCCACTGGATGACTGTCTCAGCCACTTTCCTTCCTTCCAAGTGTGTGCTCAAGATTCAAATTCCTGGGAGAGAGAATCTGATTGGCCTAACTTGTACACCCCCTTGGTGGGGCAGGATCTTGTGTTGGGAGCAGCCCCATTAGAACTGTGTGGAGCAGGAAAGGGGGTTATTTTCCAAAAGAACTTGTAATTCTAATAATATAAGAAGGCAGAACAGGGTGCTAGGCAGATTTTAAAAAGAAACAAACTGTTGGCCCACTACATTTACATCTTACCTGCCCAGCACATACACATCCTTTTTCTCATTCATAGAGTTTCACTTCTGTTGCTGTTCAAAATGTTGTAACCATCTTAGTTACAACTGCATATACATCTATGACTTTCCCAAATAAGCAGCCTGAAATCTTATCCAGGCATTATATCATCATGCCTCCCTGCATCCAGAAGCTCTGGGAAATGTTCATTGTTCTTCTGATTTGTTAGACTCAAGCCCAGATGGTCTGGAAATTTTTAATTAACACCTCACCCTAAATTCAATAGTAAGAGAAAGAAAATGTTGCAAAAATATGTGACATAGTAAGCAAGAAAATTTGTAGCTAGTCATAAAGCTGTAGCTAACACAGGCAAATATATATGACTTTCTTCTTTCACCTTCTTTGACCAGTACCTCAATTGATTGGGTTTGTTTGACCAAGGATGTGACCCAAACTTTTTTCTGAGAGGTCTGATCATCTGGTGGTTGGTCCTGTCTTGCTTATATAATACTGTAATAATTTTGTTTCAAATTTTCACCTTTCAAGCTTGGTGCATAGCAGTCTAAGTTCCAGAATACCGCTACAGTTGTACAACAATATTTTTATTCTTGATAATCAGAGTCAGTCCCTTCAGACAATGTCGAAAGTCATTCCCCTTTATTCTGCTAGTGGTATGAGGAACCTAGAATGATCAGATGACATTTAGTTTCTAATTCAGTGAAACTATTATTATATCCCCTGGTAGAAGATAATGCACAGCTTCCTTAGGTACTAAAACCACAGAAAAGTCCAGGATAGCAATGAGGCAGAAATTTGAGACTGAAGTTTTAGGTGTAATCATGAGAAATGCCACAACCACTTTCCACCCCCTGGTTTTCGTATATATGCATTCCAGCTGTAAGAAAGATCACGCATATGTACCAGTTGCTGTGTAAAGCATATACCTCATTATATGAGTGTTTTCTTCCAGCTGGTGCCATCTAAACATTCATCAGTTCAGTAGTTCATCATTTAAAAGACCAGCAGTTTTTTCAGATGATCGACTATATGTTATGATCAGTGAATTCTGTGCATACCCACCTATTGCTTTATATCTGCCTTTATGAAGGAGATTCTTTGGAAGGAGATTCTTTGATTAGAGGCAGTGTGGTGAGGGCTACCAGGTAATATAGGTAGTCTAATCTATAGTAAGTATCAACTTTAGAGAGGACAAATTGCTATCCCTTCCACTTGATGGAAGGGTTTTAATGTAATCATCCCGTTACAGAATATGCCATCTTTGGCTGGCACTGAGTACTGGCAGATGGCATGTTGTGAGCCCTTATATCATCCTTATCCTTTTTTCCATGGTCATTTTATCCATGAATTCATTGATAAGCAACAAACTAGCTACTTATTTGCTCCATCAATTTAGATGGATTATGGCTGACTAGGTCACGTGAGATGATCACCATATAAATTGCCTGTCATTTATACAGTTTCTTAAGATAATAGATTCACACTATATTTCAAGAAGTATTTTAAGTGTAAATGGAGTAGCATCCGAAAAAAATTAGTAGTATTACCAGTATTTTTATACAAATGCAGATAGTGAATAAAGTATACCCTGTAGGGAAATTTAACTAATTTGACATGTTTTTCATACTTAATAATAGGAAATTTTATGATAAGAATTGGCCAGCACTTAGAGATACAAAAGATCTTAATAGCTTGAAGGGTAACACATTTTACATATTCTAGAAAAGAGATTCTGAATTATAAAACATTAAAATAGAAATAATGAGTTATAACTATGACCTTCCCTAAAGAAAACATGAATGAATTGTTTTTTTATTTGAAAAAGGTCAAAACTTGGTTTTAAAGAATGTGTAACAGGCTGGCCAGTTAGCTAACTTGGGAGAGTGTGGTGTTCGTAACACCAGGTCAAGGGTTTGGATCCTTATACTGGCCAGCTGCCAATAAATAGATAGTATAGTGATTTAAAAGTTTTGCATTATGTTTAAAGACAAATACACCTACAGTATTTTCCATGCATGCTTAGAAATAATTAATATTTTTCTTTTAAAGTAATAAGTTTAAATGTTTTAAGGTGTTTAAAAAATTACATCACATTGTAATGTGAAACTGCATTAAAATAGAGAATGATAATTGTTGAAGTACTATTTTAGTCATTTGTAAAATGGAAATGAGAGGAGTGTTAAGAAAATAAGTCACATTCTTAGAGGCAGATTTTCTAAAAAAATAAAAAGTCCTTTTAAAAAATAAGTATTTTGTGTTTGTGACTCAAATACACAGGACTAATGAATATTTTTGGATAATATTTTAGGCCTTGCTTGTCCAAGAGTCAAGATGGAAATTACCACACTTACTACAGTTGCCTGAGAATTATAACACCATTTTTCAGTACTACCACAGAAAAACCTGTAGTGTCTGCACCAAGGTTCCTAAAGATCCTGCTGTTTGCCTTGTTTGTGGTACTTTTGTATGTCTGAAAGGACTTTGCTGCAAGCAACAAAGTTACTGTGAATGTGTATTGGTAAGCAGTAGTAAATAATCATGGCATCTCTTCAAATTTAACTACTCTTCGAATTAAATATACAAAACATACTCGTATAGGGATTGTGTTTTGATTTTGATCTTTTTAATCCAAAAGAAGGGTTAAAAAAAAAAAATCACAAGTTTTTAAGTACGTAAAACTTTTGTTAAGTATGATTCCAGTTCTTCTCCTTTCTCCTACTGTCCTTTATTATTTATTTATTTATTTATTTTCCCTTTTTGTCTTTTTTCGTGACCGGTAACGGGATCGCAACCCTCGGTGTTGCACCCGTACCGCGACCGGCAACGGGATCGCAACCCTCGGTGTCGCGCCTGCACCGCGCTCAACCAGTGAGCGGACCGGTCTCTACATGGGATCCGAACCCTCAGCGGGAGCGCCGCTGCGCTCCCAAGCGCCGTACTCTACCAAGTGCGCCACCAGGCCGGCCCATCTCCTACTGTCCTTTAGTGATAAATACTTTTAAATGTGCTGTGAAACAACAGTCATCTATACTGTTGGGGATGTTAGCCTCAGAATTTGGTTGGCTCTTAATTGCTTTCCTAGATATTTCTTACCTAAGTTTCTCCTAATGTATTAATAATACAGTGTTGGGAATGGTGCAGTTATAAGCTTAAGTTAGATGAAATCTTATTAAAAAATTAAAAAATCTCTATTATTTAAAAGACATTTAATCAAGACATTCTTGGTTTTATTACAAAACACACTTGATTATGAAGTTCATTGATACGTTTTTAATTTTTTAGCATTCTCAGAACTGTGGTGCTGGAACAGGGATTTTCCTTTTGATCAATGCATCGGTGATTATCATCATTCGAGGCCACCGCTTCTGCCTCTGGGGTTCCGTGTATTTGGATGCTCACGGAGAGGAAGATCGGGATCTTAGGTTAGATGTGCCTGGATATATCCAGGTGTTTTATTGAAGATTGGTCAGTAAAAACCAATGTGCCATCCCTGGCTTTGTAACTGTAATTTTTTTTAACGTTAAGAAGTTTTGACAGTCCTTAATTTAGAGCTATAGTTTTTTAGATTTCTTCCCTACCAATCTCTTGAGTAAATGTGAAATAAAGCAAATTACTATGTGTACTTTTTGCTATGAAGGATCCATTAGAAAAAGAAATGTGTGTGAAATCTTCATTGTATTGTATTACTTTTAATACTTCTTTTTTCCTTTTTATTCTAGGCGGGGCAAACCTCTCTACATTTGTAAGGAAAGATACAAAGTTCTTGAGCAACAGTGGATTTCTCATACTTTTGATCACATCAATAAAAGATGGGGTCCGCATTACAATGGGCTGTGACTCGCCACCTCAGCATTGTATAATATTATCATTTTCATTAAGAATTTATTTTATCAACAATAAGCTTTAACTTAATTTGGGGGTTAATGCTTTTGCTGAGGAAAAACAAGAAAACATACATTATGAAGAAGCCTTTCCAAAATTAGGTGCTTGGTAATTGCATTAATGGTATAATAAATTTTTTTAAAAAACGTATCTGAAGAACACAACAAATGACAAATTATTATTTAGCAGTCATTTTTTTAAGTGCACAATTAATAAGAAGCACAACGTATTCACAAAATCATTCAGAAATGATTCTCCCAACAATGCATATCATTGATACTAGAGTGGGTATGATTTATTTGAAATTATTTGGCTTCTGTGTGTGTTTTAATTTGCATCTGCTAAACATAATGCATCTATTTCTTCTGCCATTCTTGTGTTGATTTGAGATTATGCTGTGTATAATTAGAAAAAAATGTAAAACATGATTTATGTGAAATATTGTATAGTAAAAGTTGGTCTAATAGTAGAACTTAAAAATTTTTCTTATTGTGAGGAATCTGTTAAAAGTTTAAAGCCTTGCTGAAAACTTAATTCATTCTCAGGAATTTCATAAATATGCTCCCCAGGTAAATAGTTGAAATAGCTGTAAAATAAGTAAATAGCTGCTATTAATATAATACAGTACATTTTGGGGGGCATATGTGTGGTTGAGGGGTCCTTAAAAATCAAAGTTTGCCATTTCAGTTGGAGAAATTACTAGAAGTAGTAGCAAATAGATTTTACTATGTAATCAAAAGGTTTAAGAACATATGCATGGCAGATTTTGATTCTGTGCATGCCCACCTTTTATTACCAACCACGTTTTTGTTTATATGATTGGATTCGAAATGCTCAGACTTCCCCACAAATGAACCATAAGTTTTGGAACTTTCTTACCAACTCAAAAGGTTCAACTGTATTGTATTTGTGCAGTGTAATCACTGCTCTTTCTGCTTGGTTTTCTAAAAGAAAAGAAAGCCTCAGTGGTGATGACTCTTGTGAATGAGCAGTGCATTTGCATTCTTCTTAGAAACTGCTATGAAAAGCAATTTTTGTTTGTAGGGTTTTTAATAAAAATGGGAATGATTGAGCTAAACCCCACTCTATAAGTAGGGAAGGAAGATTACAGAAAATCATTTTATATATTACTACCAAGATTTTTTCCCCAAATGATTCAGTAATTTGATGATTATTTCATATATAGAGCTATCAAGCAACACCTGGTACTTTGGACTTCCATGGCTTATTACCAAAATTACATTTTTACATGTAACAATAAGCTAAAAACCATCTAATGATGAAATAGAAAAATAATGTCAGATCCGTGTTCTAAAAGTTTTTTGAATATATGACATTACAGATTATGAAAGTGGACATTAAATGATGGTCTTGCATTAAAATAGGGAAAGCAGAACAGTACATATTCTAATGTGTTCAAAAAGTAAATAAAAATTACCTATAGTTCTACAATAAAATACATGGAAATAGCTTGCTATTTTTATATACATTTCCAAAATATTAAGATAACTTTCTGTAAGACTAAAATGGTTCTGTTTGACTAAATAGTTGTTCTTTCCAATACATTGCTACTTTTTAAAATACTGTATCATAAGTTTGGCCTATCATGTTTTTTGCATTGGTCATTATGAATACCAGACCATTTGTAAGTGTGGTTGAAGAGCAAAATTTTAATTTACATCTCTAGAAAATATTGTTACAGGATTCATGAACTTGAATAATTCTACAGTTTGAAACTCTGATGATATATATACATGGTATAATGTATTCAGACTTTGATTACTACATATTTAAAGTGGAATGTTTTATGGTTGTGCATATGGATGTGAAGTGAAAATATTAGCCTTAACTTTAAAATTTGGGTATTTGATAGTGTTTATTTTGGTATTGGTGAATTAGTCACCAGTAAATTTTAAAAAAGCACTTGGTTGAAAATTGTACTTGAATACATACATGCATGCTGCTAAACTAGAACTTTAATTTTTTCCCCATAACTTTTTAAAGTCCCATTTATAAACCCACTTTTAAAAAAACAGGTCCAAGTTAGAGTGATGTGTGTATATTATTCAAAAAAAAATGTACTGGTGTGATATCTTGTATGAATGATCCTTTATATACAGTACATTACTGTAGAAGCTAAATCAATCTTTATAATTAAGCAGAAATTACAAAACCAGGAATAATCAACATTGTAAGATATGTTAATAAAAACCTACTGTCATTTGGTTTGTGAAAGGTCCTTAAAATAGTTAAAATATTTAATGCTTACATGTTTTTCTTTTTTTCAAAGATATTGCCATAATATATGTGAGTGAGCTTGGCTAAAAAGATCAAAGCATAACATAACTAGTAGTTGCTTTAAGGTGCAGTAAGTGTAAAGGATTTGCTTTGGTTTTTGCCTTTTATTTGTACAGTTACCTGGTTTTTCTGTCCTTGACTCATAACAAGTACAATGCCTTTGCTAAGTGTGTGTGGTTTTGGTAGTGGGGGGAGGAAATGGGTGTGTAGATCTCAGGAACACCACTATGGTTCCTGCTTTTTTCTGAAAGTTCCCAGCTAGACTTCAGAAACTTCAATTTTTTTTTTTTACGATAATGTTTATTTTGAGTAGTCTGTGGTCTTATTTGCATTGACAGTACTCATCCCTACCCCTCCATCCTGTAGCTCACTAACCAGTCATCAGCTAGGAATCCATCCATTCACAGACCTTTCTCTTTTATGTATTCTGATATTTATTGATTTCTGTGACTTAGAAAAGGTGTTGACTAAAAGCACTGAAGGCTCTGAGGGAGATTATGGCCCATGAATGTATACCGTCTCCAGGATTATAATTGCTAAGTCTCTAATTCCTGTTGTTGTCTTGTATTTGAGGTCATGCTGGGAAAAAAACCAAAATGAAAAAAAGCATGGTTTTAAACACTAGAATCAAATCACCAAGGCAAGGTCCATTCACTGGTGGATATGCCTGATAACTGATGGTTTTGGAGAGCAGATGACTTGTGATTGTGTCTTGTCTCCTTCACAGCACATCGTCCTTCTCTTTGCCTTATGATCTAGCTGGATGATAATCAAACTTAGTTCAACAGGGATGAGCTGGAGTGGATGGGATAGAAATGTGATCACTTCCCTTTTTATGACACTTCAAGCTCCCTATTAATCAGGCACTTCAAGTATGGAAGAGCTATTACCTATCATCTTAATGAACAGTAATCAACTAGCAGTGGAATGAATGTGACTCCAGCTGCTGCCACACAATGAAAAAGCACAATAAAATCTTGCCTTTGTGGAGTTAAATTAATGTAAGATATGACAGTACCAAAACTAATGATGGATAGCCCAAGAGCAGACCAGAAAGAGTAGGGTGAAGAGTACGGATAAAGGCTTCAGCTTGAGGAGAAGGAAAAGGTACAAGAGAAAGGAAGGAAAGTCTGGAGCAAAATAAGAGGATTCATATCTGATTCCCTCTTGGTGACAGAGAAGCAGAATCATGTGCTGAGAGTAAGCAGGCCTAGCATATCTGGGGGCTTTAGGTAAGTAAATTTAGACATATGCTAGAAGAGAGAACAGGCCAGAAATAAGGAGAAGCACCACAGATGTCATATGAGAGTCCAATGGGGTCAGAAGCTGTAAGTTTAATGGAGCCAATTAGAGAAGTTCTGTGACTTTTTGGAACCCTTGAGATCAGCAGTCTAGGACCCGAGGGATAGAGATTCACTGCTAAATTAGTTCATAGTTTGGGGAGTAGAGAGGTGGGTGCAATATAGAAGGGTGCGATGTAAGTTGTCAAAAGAATTAGGGGTACTGGTTGAAATGAGTGTAGGGTCCATGTTGAATTTATAGGATAAATTGAAGAGTATAGGATTGGAAATAATAAGGTTTAATGAGCAGATTTAGTGGGAGCTTTCAAAAATTTTTTTTTGAAATTATGAAAAATTTCTTCAGTGTTGAAGCATTTAGATTGATTTATTTAATATTTACTGAGCTTCTCCTGTGTGCCAAGCACTGTGATAAATACAGGAAGTACAATCTAAAAGAAGTCGGATAATCCCTTTTGCATAGCTTTCTGTATGATTAATGCTACAAATGATAAGTGTGTTTGGGAAAGAGGGAGAGTGGAGTAGAAGGTGCTATAGAAAGACCCTCTTCGCCAGACTTGGGGAGTGTTAGGAGGCTTCCAGGGAGCAAAGATGTCTAAGAGGATCCCCAAGTACTGTGTAGCCATTATTTGGGTGAAAGAGGAGGTATGAGGAGTAGTGTTTCAAGCATGCATAGGGAATATGGTTTGCTAAGATCCAGAGTTGAGAGATCACTTGTAGTTAGAGATCTGAAAGGGAATCATTCTGACTCTAAGCATAGGTGCTTTTAAGTGATAAGTTAAATCTAAACTACAAAGAGTTTTGTAACCTCATTCTAAGTGTTTTAGACTTTTTTTCAGAGAGTGGTGGGAAGCCATTTTAGGGCTTTAGAGAGTAGAGTTGCATGATCAGATTTGCATTTTAGAACATTAATCTGGCTGCACTGTGAAGAAAAATCCAAAGTAGGGAGACCTACTAGATACCTGTTGAAAGAGATCAGATACAACATGATGATTCGCTCAGTCAGGTGAGTTGTGGATACAGACAGATGTGGACAGCATCAGAAGAGGCTTGACAGAATTCAGTAAAGTGTGGAAGAGCCAAGAACATTAAGTGCCTACTGTGTGCCAGATACTAAGCTTTAAGCTGGGGATACCACATTGAACAAGACAGAAAGGGTCAGTGTCTGCTTACAGTCTAGTGGAAAACAATAGTAATTGTTACAGGTCAACTGGATATTATCAGCAAGTTAGGCAGAGGGCTATATAGGAACCAGTGGACTCATTTAGTTTGGGAAGTTCATGGAAGGCTACATGGAGGAAGTGATGTTTAAGCTGAGACCTGAAAAAAGGGTAGAAATAGGCTAAGTGAAGAAGGGAATGGAGAAGGGTATTCTGAAGTGTACAGCACAGAGAACCTGAAATAAGAGTAAGCAGGTTGCACTCAGGAAATGGAAAGAAGTGCAGTATGGTTGAAGCACAGAAAGCAGTAGGAAGCGTGACAAGAGATGATACAGGAAAGGTAGGCAGGGATCAGATCATGGCCTCTTGAGCCGTGTTAGGTTTTTTTTTTTTCCTTTTTGTCTTTTTTACTGACTGGTAACGGGATCGCAACCCTCAGTGTCGCGCCCGTACCGGGGACCGGCAACGGGATCGCAACCCTCGGTGTTGCGCCCGCACCGCGCTCAGCCAGTGAGCGGGAACCGGTCTCCACATGGGATCCGAACCCTCGGCGGGAGCGCCACCGCGCTCCAAGCGGCGCACTCTCCATTGTGCCACCGGGCCGGCCCTAGCCATGTTAAGTTTTATGGTCTTTATTGGCCTTTGTTTTGGTTATGGCCTCAGTTTAGAGCAGAGGTCAGCGAACCTTTTCTATAGAGGGCTAGATGATTTCTGCCACTACTATTCAACTCTGCCATTGTAATGCAAAAGCATCATAGCATCAAATAAGTGAATGGAATTGGCTGCGTTCCAATAAAACCTAATTTACAAAAGCAGACTGCAAGCTACAGTTTGTCAATTCTTGGTGTGGAGAAAGAGAGGAAGGGAACAAGAAGTTCTGGAAAAACCATGCAGGAAGATAATCAATAGCCAGGGGAGAGATGAAAATGGCTTGTACTAGAGCAGTGACAGAAACCATTTATGTTTCTGCCTGATGGTTGGTAGTGTACTTCATGAGATAGAAAGCAGTGGAGGAGGATCAGGTATAATGAATGCGATGTGTATGTGGTAATGAAAGGATTTGAAGGCTAGGTGCTCAGGATAAGATTCTGGAATGAAGTTCTAAACTGGGGAGTCGTCCCCTACAAATTTATAACCGAAGCTGTGGGCATTGACATCATCCAGAGAGAAGAGAGCCTGTGATAATACCCTAAATAACATCTTCATTTAGAGGACAGGCAGAACATGATGAGCCTAAGGATAAGATTAACAAGGAGACAGGTAGAAAGGGAGGTAAAACAATTAGAATGTGAAATCCTAGAAGGAAGGATATTTTAAGAAAAAGGAAGTAGTCAACAAATGTCAAGTGCTGTGAAGAGGTTAAGTAAGATAAGAACCAAAAAAACGTTGACTGGATTCTATGACAAAGGAAGTAACTGGTATCCTTGATGAGGATAGTTTTGGTGAAGTGGTAGGAGTAGAAGTCAGGACATAGCTTCTGGAGGTGAGAAAGTAGAAAAGTTTGACAATAAAGTGGAGGACTAGAATACGTTTGTCTGACTATTCCTAGCTTGGCCAAGATCTATCTCTGTCTGCAGGACATCTGGCCATGTTTGCATCAAAACCTACTTCTAATTAGTTTTTGTGTTTATTCAGATGGTATTGTTTACCATCTGAGTCTAGGACTTGAAGTCAGCAGACCTGGGTTTGAATTACCTCTCCTTTCATCAGTATATTGGTTATGAATGTGCCCTGTTTCAAGCAACAGACAACCTGACTAAGCAATGGGTTGAAGAAGTAAGGAGCTTATTAGTTTGAGGCAAAAGGAGGTCTGGAGGCAGGCATACCAGCTGCTCAAGGAAATCATTATGGATCTAGAATCCTCCTATTTTTCTTTTCCACATTATTAGATTATAACTTTTATCCTCATAGCTGTGGGATAGCTGCTAGTCTCTGGGCTGCCTTGAGTATGAAAGCAAGATGGCAGCTAACCTTTTTTTCCAGGCAAGATAAACGCAAACAGGCCAAAAGCCTCTTTCTAAGGCTTTGTCCTTGTTCAGCAAGAGGACAGCATACTTTTACATACATCTCATTAATCAATAATGCTAGGTGGCCACCACTAAATGCAAAGAAATCTGGGAAGGTAAGTATTTTAGCTTTTGAGCCTCTATGCTAGAAGAATACAAGGGGGAAAAAAAGATTATGAGTGGCTTTTTTGGTGACCAATTCAATATCTACCATATTTGGTTTCTTATCTGTGCAATGGAGACAATAGCTAATGTGATGATTAAATGAACATAGACACTTCTGGCTTCCAGTAATGGCAGATTGTGTGATTCAGACTATATTAGTTATCTGCTGCTTTATAATGAATTACCCTAAAAATGCTGTAAAACAACATGTACTACATCACACTTTCTGTGGATTAGGAATCCAGCAGAAGCTTAGTTGAGTGGTTCTGGCCCAGGTCTTTTACAAGGCTGCAGTTAAGGTATCAGCCAGTGCAATGGT